GAAGAGCGAGAGGAGGAATTCTGGGAGTTGAAGTCCACAAGTCTTAAAGCTGTCAAGTCTGAATACCCCTGGGTTTTTTTTTCTAAAGGGTTAGGGGTGCAAGGGTCTTGTAACTTGACAGCTTTAAGACTTGCGTGTTTCAAATGCCAGAGTTCCCGAGCCAACATTTTGGTTGCTAAGCAAGAGCATTGTTAAATGAGTTTCATCACATTTTACAAGTTGGCCATGCCCACCCAGTCACATGGCTGGCAAGCCACTCCCACCCAGTCACATGGCTGGGCAAGCCACTCTCACAGAGCAGGCCACACCTACAGAAGAGGTTCTAAAAAATTTTGAAACCCACCACTGGAAGGTACTGAACCAATCACATGCTTATCAAGCATAAACCATATGCCTCTACACTTGTTTAAGGGTTAAATATAATTTTACAGAATTGTTGCCATATGACAACAACGGCTGCTCCTGTAATTAAAGTTGTTTATAGTAATTCGCAGTAAATAGAGTGAAAATATCTGAGACAAGAAGTTTTTCAAAAACTTGGGGGGGGGGGGAAGAAAAAAAAGAAAAGAAACAAGAAGGCAACTTTTTCTTAAGAAAAATCAGAAAAGGAGCCAGAATGCAACTTTCCCTTGAGCACCAAAACGTCTATTGTTGGCCTTGGTTCCATTCAGTTCATTGTGACTTATCCTTAGATATGCAGAATTGCAGGTTTACCACATCAATAGCTCTGTTATTTGAAACAAATTCTGTACTTAATCTGTGCTTAATTAAAGCCAAACTGTTTCTTGGAGCCAGTGGTGAAATTCAAATTCTTTTACTATTGGTTCGGTGAGTGTGGTTTGGTGGGGGTGGTAGGGGAAGGTTACTGCAAAATCTCCATTCCCACCCCACTCTGGGGCCAGCCAGAAGTAGTATTTGCCGGTTCTCAAAACTACTCAAAATTTCTCCAGAACCTGCTGAATTTCACCCCTGCTTGAAATCGTAAGAAGATACTGTGATCCAAAAATCATACACAATGTAGGAAGAATCTTCTCTGTTGGGATTGTTGCAGAAGTTGCATTAGTAAAATTCAAATAAAAGAAGACCATTGGTGTATATGTGTTTGTGTATATGTGCATGTACATGTATGTGTACGTATATGTAAAAAGAAAAATAGAAAGCATGGTAGCCCTTAATTAAACTAAAGATAACATTCAATGAGACTTAAGTATTTGTACCTCTCATATATTTTATCATTGCAGTTTTAATTGTTTATAATCAAGCCCTGGGAGTAAATGAAAGATGAATATAATACCTTCCTTCCTGATGCGTGTAGGTGCCTCTGAATCAGTGTTGATGCTTGGTGGCTGCCTGAATTAGTCCCTGCAGTTTAATAGGCAAGATTTTGGAAGTGGTTTGCCATTGCCTCCTTCCTAGGGCTAAGAGAGAGTTTACCCAGATAGCTTTGTACCTAAGGAGGGACTAGAACTCTTGAGTGTCCTGATTTCTGGACTGTTGGTTTAATCACTATACTAAAATGGCTTTTCTTCCAATCTGAGGTATAAGAGAGGTATTTTTGGTAGATGGTAGCTATATAATATTTTAAAAAAGAATACATAAAGAAATAAATTCAGACAAAATAGTGATGTAAATGTATTAGAAAATACATATACTTGAATAATATTTCCATTAGACACGTATATATAGAATTGTAATCATATATTGTTATGATATATCATATAACCTGTAAGTCACCCAGAGTCACCTTGTAGGGGAGAAGGGTGGTATAAAAATTTAATAGATAAATAAAATATTATGTTTTGAGGGTCAATTTCTTTCACTGTTGGGTTAAAGCACTTTCTATGTGTTGTTTTTATTATTCTCTCTGACTATCTATCACCCTCACAATTATTTTTGTTTCCGCCCCCCTCTTTTTGTTATTAATTTACAATCAAAAATACCATCTTCACCAGTTGCATTCATATATGGCTAATCAACTTCTTGAATTAACCCATCTGCATGCATTCATATAATATATGATTAGAGTATGTTGACCATGACCATAATTTTATTTTAGTTTGTTATATAAATTCAGCCCTTATGAATTTTCAAGTTAAAATTGATAGAAATTTGGAAAAGAAGTGTTTTTAAAATTAAGTGCAGCTCTTTGCAGTTTATTTGAGAGGTTCCCCTTTATTCTGCATTTCTTTCATTGATATTATAAAGATAAATACCCAGATACTCTAAGGTTCTGTGTTCTTCATTCTGAAATATATTTTATTCCTAATCAGAGAAAACTTTGGAAAGACTGCTAAGGTATTCTAAGGTGAAATTCACCTTGTAATGATAAGAATATTCCAAGAACAGAAAACTCTGTTATTTGCAAATAGTTTATTGAAATTGCAGGTAAACTTCATTAGGTTTCATTTTTTGTCAATGCAAAGGCAGCATCTGACATGATCGTAAAACAATTCAAGGTGCCCAATGTGGGGCTCTCCTCCTTCCAAATTCACAAGCCGATCGCGTATACTCTCAATTGAGCGTTAGACCACAATTTCCAGGCTCGGCAATGAGCAAAAACATGGGAACTGTATGTATCCCAATGCTTGGCAATCTCGGGCTCGGAAAAACGGAGGTAAACACAGAGCTAGATTTCTCCAGCCCATCCACCTGCTCTGTCGAATTTACGTGCCAGACGGTGAAGCGAAGAACAACCGGCTGCGAGGAATGTTTGATTTTGCTATTTGCAAAGTTCCAACAATGTTGGTTTTAATGATTCCATGCACGGGTTGCAGCCTTTGGAGCGCAGAAAGGTGGGGCGACGGGCAGAGGCGGCGGGATGCCTCGTGCGTGGCGCGGGAGGCGTCTTCGTTCCCGCCCGTTTTCTCGACTAAGGCGATGTTCTGGCACAGCCCAGCAGGTTCCTTCGAGGTTTTGACAGCGCCGCTTAAAAGCCACAGGCGCGCTCCTATTGGAGCTGCGCCCTGGCTTACCAAAGACCCCGCCCCCCCACAGCCCCGACTAGAAAGAGATACAAGGGAACTTGCAGTTGCCCTCGCAGAAGGTGGCGCGTGAGGCTGCCTCCGCCCACCACCCCAGTCCCGCCAGTTTGTCCGCCGCCCCGGTTGCTCGCGCGCTGCCTCCCTCCTGAGCCCTGGCGGCGAGTTCCAGTTCGGACTCCGCGCCGACGCCTAGCCCCGAGGAGGAGGAGAGCCGTCGCGAAAGCGGGACGGAAAGAAGCGGTCGGGCTGCCCGGGCTTCGCCGACCCGGGAGGGCGCGCCAGCTTTCCTTCGGAGACCGTTTGGGAGCGGAACAACCACCACCCGCACAGCGACGTCTCTTTCGCCTCCCTTCGCCATGGGGCTCCCCCTGCTGCTGGGTCTGCTGCTCTCCCGAGCCGGTAAATTTGGGGCTGCTCTTCGTTCCCTTCACCGCAGGTTTAATCCCTATGGGAGGAAAGGGAGGTTTTTTAAATTAATTCCTGGGGTCTAAAGGCTGCGCTGCGCGGGCTGACGACTCATAAAACCAAGGAATTCTGCCTGTTACTCCCCAAAGCCCCCTTTCATTTTCTCTCTCTTTTCATGGTTTAATTGTGTGTCCCTCCGCGGCTTTGTATCTATCTATCTATCTATCTATCTATCTATCTATCTATCTATCNTCAGTCTCTAGGCTAATGGACAAAGTTAACCCATGCTTGGATTCCCCTCGCAGCACACATAGAAGGACCGTTCAGGTAAGTCAACGGTCGATACCCTCATTTGATAATCTAACCTGGGCTAATATTGGAAGATAAGCAGGGCTGTCTGATAATGTTTTGACGGGAGACTTTCTGTGGATTCCAGAGCTGTTGGCTTGATTGGGAAAATGAAAAAAAAAACATTCTGAAATAAATTAATGGCAAATCAATTCCATAATGCCCCCAACAAAAGTACAGGAATATGTCTAAAACAGAGACTGCATGCTGCATCCAGCTTCAAGATTATTTTGTGAGCCTTTTCGTCAATCACTGGTAGAGAAGAATGGTAAAAGCAGGAAGGCAACACATTTCCAATTCTTTGTTAGTCTGATGACAAAGTGTGCCATGCAGGGATCTCAAACTGCAACTTGTCATAGGACAGGCCAGGGGCAGCTAGTTTCTCCCATGACTGCTAAAGTTCCACCTTTCTATGACTTAGAGTAGGAAGCACTGCTTTGTTCCTGGACAGGTAAGCTCAGGGATACCTGCACTCCTAACTCTACATCAAGACATCTTCACACCATTGCTGGGGCCATGCCAAGTTCATCACCATTCTTCTTGATTTAAATCAAGGATAAATGTGACAGTGGGAGCAGGGAGCAGGAATTTCTTTATATGCAACTAAAATGAAGTCCCCCCCCCCCCTCAGCTTAACCCACCCAGATACAGAACCACACTTCTCATCCTGAAGCTATAGCAGTGAGAACTGTGGTAATGACAGGTGGGTCAAGTTCCTGCACTGGTCTAAGGCTTTTTCTGGTATCTCAGTTAAGAAACTCCTCATCAGAGAAGCAATAGTAGGATCTGGATATCCTCTGCATCCGTCAGGCCATTTAGGTTCACTATGTGGATGCTCAATCATTTTCAGAAAGAATAAGCAGTTATGCCGGCATTGTGCTGATTATAGATTTGAATCAATATTATTGCTGCTGCTGTATTAAGAAATGCCTTATTGCCACAAAACTACAGAAAAAGGAGGAACTGCACACTTTTTTGCAGTATTTGTTTTAATCACAAGAATTCAGAGCCTTATCAGATTTTAGTGCTGTGTCCATTAGGATAATAATAAATATTCATGCAGCCTTCAAGATAATTTGAGCTGAACACAGCTGTTCTAAAATATATTGTCTGATACAAATAACAATTGATGGGCAATTTACACTTAATGAATAAAGCATAGTTCTTATTCTTTCAACACAGAAATCACTCAGATAACTGTTAATTTTTTGGGGGGAGGGGGAATAGGAGACTAAGTTGGAGTATATAATTACTTTTATTTTTCAGGTAACATTGATGCCTGGTTCATATACTGTATTCAGAGTAAGATTATTACCAAAAGAACTTGAAGGGATCCATGATGGAGCTATACAAATCACAACAGATTATGAGGTATTTCAAAATTGTAAATTATATTATATTATGTAAATTATATTGAGCCTGAAAGTATTATGTATGAAAGTAGAAACCAAACTAAACAAATTTAAAAAGGAAAAACACATGTACTTCCAGGTAGCTATTTTGATTTACAACTACTGATATTTTTTGCTTGCCAATATCTTCATTATTAGTTATAATCCTTGATTACTTATTTTAGAGATAACCCTTGACTTATGAATGATCATTTAATCATTGTTCAAAGTTACAATAGAGAATGAAAAGAGTGCTTCAAAACCCCTAAAACATCCCCCTCCCTATTATTTGACTGTATGTTGGGTGCTTGGCAACTAGGTCACATTTTCGACTGGTTGCTAAGTTCTCCATGATCATGTGATGAACCTTTGCAGTCTTTTCTGCCAGCTTCCAATGGGGAAGCCAGCAAGGAGGGTTACAGATGGAGGGGAGCTGAAATTCCTCAGTAGGCTGCAGGAAAAGAAGAGACATCTTAAGGGTTCCAGCTCTATCTACAGTCTGCTGTGCATCTACATACAAGTTGCACAGAAATGAGGTGGCATCCTTTGGTAGACTTCAGGAACATTTGAGAGTGAAAGGGCTTCCTATGCCGAGGAATTGAGTTCCACTTAACTTTCCAGGAGATCATATAATGACTGTAACTGGAGTGCCAGAACTGCAGTTGTTGAGTGAAGCAATTACATGGGCATCTTGCTTAACAACTATGTTGCTCTGCGGCCAACATAGCATCCCAGTTGTGGTTGTAAATTGAGAACTGCCTGTATGAACAACTTCTGTCAAAACCAGAAGTTTCACTTATTTTTATAAGTTTGTTTTCTGAAAGTAAGTTACATTAATTTGATGCCAAGTACACAGGAAAAGTACTAAATTGCTATAACATAAAAATGACCCAGATCCCCCCAAAATGCAAAGCACAGGGCAGTTTGATTTCTTTAAGAAGCACTAGCTTCTTAATCACAAATCTGATACAGGAAGGCATCATGAAATTTTTTGTTTTGTTTCTGATTTTCAATTTTGGGGTGGTCAATCTTTGAAAAGAATGGTGGATATTTTTAAGAAAACATGAGCATACATATGTTTTACAAAATAGATTTTCATGGTGCATAAAATATCGGTAGAAATGTGTTGATACAAAAATTAATCTAAGATTCAGATTATTACGTTTATATTTTGCTTCCTCCCTTTTCTTTAGATCCTAACAATTCCTGTGAAGGCTGTTGTTGCTGTAGGCTCCTTGACTTGCTCTCCAAAACACATTCTGCTTCCACCTTCCTTTCCAGTAAGCTTTTGTTTGGCATTTTCAAAAGATTCTTCTTGGTTTTCAGCTTTTGTGATGGGTTAGAGAAAAGTTTTGCTAAATAAATGGTATGCTGATACTGCCGGAATTCATTGAATGCTTTGCACTATGGGGCAATTAGATATTGGATTGTCTTTATTTCTCCTGTGTGCTGCTCCGGGAATCCAATCATGGGTTAACTTAGCCCTCTAGCCTTGAGACTGAGTATGCAAATTTCAAAGTCACGCCTCCTCTGACTGGACTTCTGTTTCCATTCAGTTTCTCTTACTCAGTCCAAGCCTACAGACCTATTTCAATTCTCTCTTGACTAATTGATAATTTCTCAGGATTAATACTGGATTTCCTTTGTTTCGCTGATTGAGCTCTTTCAAATTCATACTATGGCTGATCAATCGGTAGTGCAAGGTACTGTCGGGCCAGTTTCTGAGCCCCGTTCCCCTGGCGAGGGGGGGGATAACCCTGGGCCTAGCAAGGCCACGACCAGGGCTTCCAGTAGCAGGCCTCGAGCCTCATCTACTGTTCGGGATAAGTCGCACAAGCGCAAAGATAAGGCCAAGGCTCCCCCCAAGGCATCTGGGGCTCCCATTTGTTCCCCTCCGGTTCTGATTCAGCAGCCTGTTTCTCCGGTGCGAGTTGTTGAGCAGGGTTGGTCCCCTGATATTCAGCTTCCCCAGGCCCCGCTTCCTGAGGTAGGGGTTTTCGGGCCTCAATCTCCCCCAATTATTTCTGAGGCTAGTGGGGCTTCTCTTCGTTCGCCT